GTGGTTTCGCGGTGGACGATGACGTCGGGCGCGAAGCTTTTGAGGATGAACTCGAAATTCAGTCGGCACAGGACTACCTCACAGAATTGCGAGAAGGCTGGGCCAAATTGCCAGCCGTCAACGTGAAGGCTCTTGAGGAGGAAGACCATGTGGATTCGGATGCAAAGGGCAAGAAGGACAAGAAGAAGAAAAAGAAGAGGCCAGGAAAGGACTTGGGTGGCAAGTACGCAGAGCGATACCACCTCTCCCTCGTCGGCCCCAGTATCGTCCCCAACTACTTCCCCACACTCCGTGTCGTGGAGTACAACATTTCCGGCCTCGAGGATGCTGCAGTTTGGACCGACTCGTTCACCAACTCGGTACCCGCTCTATCACTCCCATCGGACGACGACCCCGTTCACGAAGAACTAAAGCGCGAGATCGACGCCGCCAAGAAGAAGAAGAAGGGTAACAAGGGCAAAAAGGGAAAGAAGCCGACAAAACCCAAGGATCCCAACTTGGTCATCCCTCAGCCGCCACCTGCAGGCACCGGCCCTGGCCCGGCCTACGCACCTCAACCCCTGACCTTCCTTGGATACACCCAGTATTTTGCGAACCTGACCTACCTCAACAACGACATGACGCACGAGAGCAAGGACGCATCTGGGAACAAGTGGCGTGACGGCATCCACAAGGACAAGGATCCCAAGTCCAAGAAGCCCAAGCCTCGCCCCTTTGCGTTCGAGGTTGAATACAGCACCTTTACCGACAAGATCTACAAGCTATCGGACTTGACCGTTCGCAGTTACGTCAAGCTGGCGAACCGCATCGCCAAGGAGAATGCTAAGAAGGGTAAAGGAAAGGCCCTTGCGGAGGACTTTGAAGAAGACGATGACGAAGACGTAGAAGAAGAAGAGGAGTCATTAAACGAGAAGAAGGAGCTGGTTGAAGATGAAGCATACGATGACGACGCAGACGACGATGAAGATGATGACGAAGATGAAGACGTAGAAGCAGACAAGAAGAAAGGAAAGAAAGGCAAGAAGGGTAAGAAGGGTGGAAAGAAGAAGAAGAAGAAGCACAACAAGGTGTGGTTGCATTTCCTGAAGCACGCGTTCATCAAGACGGTGCCCCAGAAGAAGTTGAAGAAGTTTTAGAGGGTGTGAGAAAGAGAGAGAGAGAGAGAGAGACACGAAGCACGCGAGCTAGAAAGCGTGCGAGAGGTACTAGTCATTGGTTCTTGTCGTTGCAAGCTTGCATTATAAGCATTTGCTAGACTTTTTTGGAACTCGTCATATGGGCTAGCACTTTGTATTTGAAAGAAACAGAGGCGTTTTTATGGGAGGCGCATGGGCAAAGGGTAGCGAAATTTGTATGAATTTTATTTTTTTCTTCAGCTGTAGGAAGTTTCGAGGTGCTCGTAGATTCGCTTTTTTCGTGTTCCCTTTTAAAGCATCTTGTAACCCAAATTATTGCAGGTTCTCCAGGTTAGGGGGTTTCTGAACGGTTTTTGTCATACACATTATCCCGGTTTACGATTGCTGTTGAGTTTATGTCGTCAAGTCAATGCAAAGAATGAAGATTGAAGTAGGGGACAATCATGTATTTTAAATCATAACTTTTTTGGGTCTAGCCGTGTACATCCCTAGAATCAAAGCATCAGGCTAGATGTACATAACGTATATATACACGCACACGCAAACGCAGAATCAAGACCACACTTTTTTCAGTCGCTATCGCTCGTCTGCGCGGCGGGTGAATCAGAGAACCCATTCCACTCCTCCTCAGACTCCTCCCCATCATCACCACCATCACCACCATTCGCACCACCGGCGCCCTCCTCCTCATCCTCGTCCTCGATATCGAGCGCGCCCGAGATGTCCCACCGGTCCCCCTTGGCGGCGCGCCCGACGTACTTTACGAACCGCAGCGTGCCGCTGTCGCGGAGCACGAGCGTGAGCTTGTTCCACGCGGCGGCCTGGAAGAAGAGGATGTTGTCGTCGTCGCCCGACGACTTGTAAATCGCCGCGTCCTCGTCCTCCTCGCCGTCGTCGCCCGCCATGTAGACTTCGTGTCCGCCGACCTCTGTCTCTTCTTCTTTTTCTTCTCGGGTGGATGCGGGCTCGGGCTCGGCTTTGGCTTTGCCTTTACCCTTGTTGCGCTTCTTTGATGATTTACCATTGGGCTTTGCTTCTTCTTGCTCTTCTTCAGGCTTCTCCTCCTCTCCCTCCTCCTCCTCGTCACCCCAACCCTTGGATGGGGTGATACCGAGGTTGAGCTCGAGACGAGGCTTCCCGTCGTGGCCCGTCGCGAGGGTATAATCCTGCCCGCGGCGGAACCGGCGCGCGAGAAACTCGTGGCTCTCGACGACGGTGCCCGTGGCGACCTGTAGCCACTCACGGAACTGCCGCGAGGGGAGCAGGTGGTCGAGCAGCTCCGTAAGCGGGTTCTCCTCCTGCGCGCTGCGCAGCTCGTCGGCGCCTGCGGGCTGTTGGTAGAGGAAGCGGTGCTTGTGCGGGGGACGGGCGACGCGCCATGCCGACGTCTTTTCGATGGCGTCGCTGTCGTTGTCCGGGAGGGTGTTCTTTGAACTCTCTTGGGATTCAATATACTCCTTGAGCCTGGCGGAGAATTTCTTCGAGAGGATGTTGGGGAGCGTGATGCTCGAGTTCTCTTCAAAGTGCTCCGAGATTTGCTCCAGGGTATCCGGGGTAAGGTACGTCGGCGCAATGTACTTTAGCAAAAACTCGAGCCCGGCCTCGTCGAACCCTTCGAGGCTGGCCTTGGGCTTGTCCACTTTGACGGACCGCGCCTGCGGGGTGTCGTGCTGGTCCGGGTTGCCCTGGAGCTGCATGAGCCCCGAATTCTTGACCTGCTTCTCCTCTGCGCCCTCGACGTAGCCGTCCTCGCCGATCTGGGGGATGTGGAACCAGCCCGAGATGGCCATGCGGACGCGTCCGCCCTCGGCCTCGAGCTGCGCTTTGGTCTCGGCGTGGTAGACCTCCTCGACGTCGTGGAAGGACTCGCCGGGCTGCACAGCGAAGAAGGAGAGCTGGTTCCACGCGGGCGGAATGACCTTGGAGTGGTCCGGTGCCGGCGTCTTTGCAATCTCGCCGTCTTTACCCTCCTGCTCGAGCACGGGGAACAGGCGCAAAGCGCCGCCCCACTCGGGCTTCCACGGGGTGTCCGGGTCGGTGAGGTAGAGGATGTAGCTGACCTTGCGGCTGCCGATTACGTCGTCGTGGCAGAGGAGGTAGCAGCCGGGGGTGTAGACGTTGATGGCCATGTCGGTCTTGCGGCCGCTCAAGGGTCCGCAGCCGGTGATGTGGGAGACGTAGTCGCGAAAGGTCTCGGAGTAGATTGCGTCACGGAGAGACAGCAGGCTCGGGAGCTTGGCGAGGGCGTCATCGTCGAGGCCGTCGAGGTTGGCGAGGTCGCCCGACTGGTGGATCTTGTAAATGTCGGTTTCCTTGGGGGTGAAGGAGACGTTTTCGCGAATCTCGTCGCGGACGGAGCGCAGGAGGGCGTCGTCGACGAGGCCGTCGATGACGGAGTGCTTGTAGGGGCTCGATTCGGCGTACTGCTTCGTGTAGGCGTCGTGGACCTTCTTGTCAAAGAGACCCTTGCGGAATCTCGACTTTGCGACGTCGGCCGAGAGAGCTGCGCGTGGAGCGAAGAAAGTTCGGTGTTAGTGACGACATCGGGGCATGGAAAAAAGTTGAGGTTGTTGTAGGGGTGGCTAACTCGTCTTGGTCTTCTTCTTGGACGTTCTCTTGTCATCAATTCGTGAACTAGCCTTGCGCTTCATCTTGAGTGATTGGGTGAGGGATAGGGACAATCTTCTGTAAGAATTGAAGAGGAGAAAGTCGTTGGCAGCCTCCCAGAATTTCAATATTTTGTGACGACCCCAGCGCTGGGCTGTCTGTCGCTGATCGGAACCGAACGTGGGCTGAGGTCCCACATAAAGTTTTTCTCCTAGCAGCTGTTTTCGCGCCAAATCGTCCCATGGGCTTAGCACCGTCCCACCGTTGGCCCCTGCAAAGCTTGCAAAAGCGCCTCTCCACGAGTGTACGCTCAGCAGATGGCGGGGGCACTTTAACGGTCGGGGGAGAGCTCCTTGGTACACCGCTGTCCAGTGCCGGCGTGGCCAATGATTAGAACTAGCAAAGGGCTGGCTCTCGGTCCAAACATTGGATTCTCCAGAACCTCATCCGCATGACGGTGCAAGCGCCGGTTGCTTCGCTCTCCTGCCCAGTCATTAAGTACCGCCAGGCTGGCGAGGAGATAGCCAATGCCGGTGTCTAGATACACCAGACATGCACGATTCGCTCCTGGCGCTTGAAATTTGCATGAGATGCGTCTTGTATCAGAGGTAATGCATTAAAGGGTGGGTGGGAGTGAAATAAGCGGCAGTCCCCTCAACTCAACTTCTCCCAATTCCCTCTCAATCTATTGGCAGATCTGGCACCATTCTTTTGGTCAAAGAAAAACAAAATCAAGAATTGGAGACAGAAGTGTGCAACGGTGCTTGGCATCGGAGGCTCCCAACCAAAAAACGCGGTCGGGAATTGGCACGGCGGGCGGGCAAGCTTCGGGCGAGTCGGGCCCAACCGCCGAACCCCGCGCCCCACACCTCCCATCCTCGCGCTGCCCCTCTACTGTGTATCCTCCTCTTCCCCCGCCTACCAGCACCGCACTGAGGTTGTTCCTTCGCCCGCACTGCAAAACGTCATGCATCCATGGGAACACTCAGTAGATCATTTGGCTTTCTGCAAATTGCGGGCTTCCCAAAGCCGCTTCACTTCTCAATTGGGCAGTTTCCTAATCATCTGAACCCAGTCTTTTACGTCCATTACGCCCTGCCCCGCAACTGCTATCGTAATCTCGCATCTTTAATACTCGGCCCTCGTTCCTCATCACGAGAGCTTCAATTTCTACTCGCTTTCTTCAATTGTCTTGTGATAGTTCTCTTACAGAAATTGCATTTATCTTGTATATCTTCAGCCAGAAACACATTCAATATGGCGTCTCAGATAGATATCGCTGCCGTGAGAAGCAAGTTCCCTGCCCTGGGCCAAGACCAGGTCTTCTTCGATAACGCGGGCGGAAGCCAGACGCTGGGCACAGTCATTGAGTCGTATGTCACCTGTAATCCTCAGATAGTCTGAAAATCTCGCTCACATAACGCCTCAGCATCCGCGACTATCTCACACAAAACAATGTTCAGCTAGGCGCGTCTTACAAAGTCGGCCAGAAGGCGACGGCCTCCTACAGCGAAGGCTACCAGGCCGGCGCAAAGTATATCAACGCATCTGCCGACGAGATAGGTAAATGAAAACTGCCCAACGATTACTCTTGACGGGAACTCTTACAAAAAAGGGTCACAGTCTTTGGCGCCTCGACAACCCAGCTCTTCCGCAACCTATCCCACACCTTCACCTTTGACAAGGGCGACGAAATCGTCGTATCAGCAGTCGATCACGAAGCCAACATCGCCTCTTGGGTCGACCTCGCCGCCCGCCAAGGACTCGAGCTGAAGTGGTGGAAGCCCACAGACGCATCCTCAACAACGAACCCAAAGCTGACGACGGAGAACCTGAAGCCCTTGCTCTCGGACAAGACCCGCCTGGTAACCCTCACGCACGCGAGCAACATCCTAGGCACGATCCACGACGTCGCCTCCGTAGCCTCCCTTGTCCACGACTCCACACCAAAGGGTCTGGTCTGCGTCGACGGCGTGGCCTACGCCCCGCACCGGCCCATCGACGTCAAAGCCCTCGGCGTCGACTTTTACGCCTTTTCGTGGTACAAGGTCTACGGCCCGCACACGGCCATGCTATACGCCAGCCGCGCCGTGCAGGACGCACATATGCGCTCCCTCGGCCACTTCTTCAACCCGAGCGAGTCCCTCGAGGGGAAGCTCGGGCTCGCGGGAGGCAGCTACGAGCTGGTCTCGGCCGTCCCGCGGGTGCTGGAGTACCTGGGCACGCCCGACTCCCAGGGCTGGAAGGGCAAGGTCGAGCAGGAGGGGCAGCTCCAGGCCATTCTGCTCGAGTATCTCAACGGCCGGGGCGACGTGACCGTTTACGGCGAGACTGATGCCGGCACCGACCGGCGCGTTCCGACAATCAGCTTCAGAGTGCAGGGGTGGGGCACCAAGGAGCTTGTCAATGCCGTAGAGAACGAGTCCGAGTTTGCCTTCCGATGGGGCCACTTCTATTCGTACCGGCTGATCAAGGAGATTCTGCAACTCGACCCCGCCGATGGCATTATTCGGGTTAGCATGGTGCATTATAACAGCCGTAAGTCAAGTGCACAACTTTCCAACCTGTGAGTAAAACTAATCAGCCGTAGTTGATGAAATCAAGGGGTTCATTGCGGCCTTGGATAAGGCACTGCAACAAAAGACCAAATAATAGTGTATAATGTTGTAGGATTAGGATTAGAAAGACCTGTAACTCCGGCATACCACCGGAAAGTTGCTGTCCGTCTGATATCTATATACGCTGAACATAAATCATGGCTCCCATAGCTTTTTATAGAGGACAAAAAAAAAAAACCCCCCCAAAAAAAAGGAAAAAGTCGTAAAAACGTAGGCGTGAGAGGGAAAAGCCGGAGGTTTGGTGTAGTGGAGACTCCGATTCCGATCTCAGCTCAGAGCTTGCCGGTCTTCTTCTCGACGGCTTGTCTGAGGACCTTAATGACCTCTGCGGGGTCCTGGGCACCAAAGACAGCGCTGCCTGCAACGATAACATTGGCGCCCGCGTCGGCAGCCTGGCCGACGGTGGACCCGGTCAGGCCGCCGTCGACCTCGATGTTGAGCTCCGGGTACCGCTCGCGGAGGGCCTGGACCTTGGGTAGCTCAGAGGCCATGAATTTCTGTCCGCCGAAACCGGGCTCGACTGTCATGATCAGGACCATCTGCGGTTGTGGAGAGAACCCCTGTCAGCCTAATGCGCCTTCGCGGAGACCCCATCTTGTGGTGTGTGTAACAGCTGCTCGTAAGAAGAAGAAGGAAAAAGGGCAATAACTCACGTCTGGTCTCTCGAGTGGGTCTTCACTCTCGAGGAGCTCCCACACAACGTCGACCGAGGTTGCGGGCTTCAGAGCCACGCCGGCTAATATGCCCTGCTCGTGAATGTAGCGGATCAGGGCGCGGGGGTTCGTCTTCTCGTCGGATTGGACCTCTGGGTTGTCGGAGTCGGAGGAAAATGCGGCCTCGTAGTGGAAGCAGTACAGGTCTGCGCCGGCCTCCTTCATGCCCTTGACCCATTTCTTGGGCTAAATCGACGGATGCGTTAGTAGGCGTATTGTAACATGCCAGATTGCCGCAAATGGACTTTTGGCAACACCAAAAACATAAGCCCAGGGTGAAGGGAAAGCAATTACCTCGGAAACCATCATATGACAGTCAAATGTGCCCTTTCCCCATGTCTCGATGGGCTTCTCAACATGACCTCTGATCTTGGCGACAACACCGGGTCCCCATGAAATGTTGGGCACAAAGTGGCCGTCCCTAAGAAAACCATGTAAATTAGCCACGGCTCGGCTCGGACATGAGGACAATTCTTTTGCGACCGGCTTTCCAAAAAAGCGGTCGCAAGTTGCTTGCGTGCTGATTTTTTTCTGGCGGGGTATGGTCTCCGTACATAATATCGACGTGAAGCCAGTCAGCGCCTTGCTCTATGGTCTTGGAGCACGCATGGCCAAAGTGGCCAAAATCGGCCGCGAGAATCGACGGAGCTATGATTGCTTTGGGTGCCATTGTGCAAGTAGGCAACGAGTACAGTCAGATAGAGAGAGAAAGCTGTGTTTCGTTTGTGTTCGTGTGTGTCTCCTTTGTGGTGGTTTGAGAAGGGAAAAAAAAGAGAGGTGTGCGTGGGCGGCGGATGTGAGAGCGGGTGTGTCTAGTTTTGTTCGTGGGCACTGAACGGCTCTTCGGCGTTTGGAAAAGGGTTGGAGGGTACACGATCGGACATGCGACCGGAAGCTGTGGTAAGCTATGGACCCTGAACCACGAGAGCTCTTTCGGGTGGAGTTTCTGTTGGGATCTTCCCACATTCTGGGATATTCTGGGATCTAGAATCACTAATAACTGAGGGGTCGCAGTCGCGCCACCCCACGCCAAACGTCAACCCCGCCGGGCACGTACCGCCCGTATGATAAGCTCCGGAGTACATAACGCACCCCTTATTTTAGGTACCTCCCTACCTAAGCATAGCTCCACCCTTCCCATTGGGCTGGCTAGCTGGAAAATTCAAGAGACGGGGGGCCGAATTGACCCCTGACGTTGCCAGTACTAAGGTAAGTATGTCAAGATGGCCGGCGGGCCTCGCCGTCTCGGGTGATTATCCGCCGCCGCGGATTTGCGGTCACCTGTATCCGCACATCGTACGCCTCCCCGGTACCAAAAGAAGCATCCCACGATGCTCATCAGTGGTGTTGTGCCTTGGCTCCGCGTCATAGTGCCAGTATCCTGCTCGACTGATCATCGCCGTATGGCGTGTTCCATCCACAGACTCGGGATATCCGTGGGCATACATCGCGATTTTGGTTGAGAGCGTTGACCAACGAAAAAACAATGGAATATGCGAGAACGACCTACTCCTGGTCCACTCTAAACTGCCTGGGTAATGCTGTCCCCCGTTTATACATACACAGAGCCTAGGCCAATAGCCCTACTGTTTGTTCTTGCTCCGGAAACAAATTTAGTTGTCAAAGCTGTACTTCAACCAGCCACCCAATGCCTTCAAACTCTCCCAACGGACATTCTCGTCCGACTCTCCCATTAGCTCCATAACTCTGGTCTTGAGACCAAGCTTCTCCAGCTTATATCTCATCTCAGGCACCTCCTTAACCAAGGCCCCAACATCGTTGCATGCAATAGCCAGGACTGCCTTGTCGTTCTCCCACGGCTTCTTCATAATCTCGGCGAGCTGGCGCGCAATAGCTCCGTTCTCGTGCTCCAAAATCTTGCGCGCATTCTCAGCCCAGAAGACCTGGCTTCTGTGAGGCGGTGACCATCGGAGGTGACCAGACTCGACCTCAGCAACGTATTCGTCAAAGGTCGTCTTTGTCTTGGTGTACTCTTCGAGAAGTTCCTTGAGACTTTGTGCGTCTTCGAGCAGGTCAGGGTCTGTCAGGTGGCGGCCGCTCAGGTTGTCAAGGAGCGCAGGTAGTCGCGCAAGGACCGCAGTAGGGAGGAGTGATTTCTGGTTCTTGCTGAGCAAGTTGTAAAGGGTAGAGACAACCAATCGGGTCGTCTTCTCCTTGGGAGAGAGGCGCAAAAGCTGGGTGTACAGCAAGATAATATCGTACTCGCTAAACATGATCAGTTTGTGAAAGCCATACGGCTAGAGTGCACTTACTCATTAAGCTCGTCACCAATATCTTCGGCTTCGAAGCTCATTTGCCAGATAACCAGTAGCACATGGTACAGCAACTGCAAGCCAACACCGCCGCCGAGTGAACCCTCAAATCCGGCGTTTCTTGTCGGCGCGGTTCCGCTCCATATGCTTGCCGAGGAGCTGCCGTTGCTGCCAATGCCAGCTGCTGTTCTGAGGATATCAATCAGAGGCGCAATCGTCTCGCTTCTTTGATTCCAGAATTGTTGTCTCGCGGCATGTCCGTAGAGAATGGAGGAGTATTCCTGGACCGCGATGTCTTGAAGGCCTGCATCAGAACTCTTCGCGAGGCCAGATAGGTAGGAGAGGAGCACGGGGATGGCGTTTCGGGTCGCCTGCGATTCGTTCAATGAGAGCGACATGAGCTTGGTCAGAGCCGTCGATGTGAGCAAGGGAATAGGGTCCTCGGTATTGTTCGAGTGGGCGAGCAGAGGTAGGAAGTGCTTGTAGGGGTCGGCGTTTTTGAAGATAGCCTTCGAGAGTGACGGTACACCTATTTGGAGAGACGACAGCATTAGCGGGGTTGAGGCATATGAAGGGATCGTTGAGATAAATCAATCTCTAGGAAAACGAGGGCAGAATAAGTAGAATCTGGCCATAGTAATAGATTGGCGAATCAATGGGGGATGGTATGGAACATACTGGGCAAGAGGTCCGCCAAGAGGACGAGGATATACTGGACGACATTGGCCTGCTTGCCTGCGGACTCAAGCACCGAGGGCTTCCCAGATTCGCCAACAAAGAGGGAGCGGTAGCCATCGAGATCTCCTTCTACAATCTCCTTTCGAGCTTCGGGCTTCTTCGCCTTATCAACAGCGCGGATGCGGGCCAGGTGGTCCTCTGTGATAGTGCCTGCTCTAACAGCGCCATCCCAGGGGATTGGCCGCTGGCGGATGTTGTTCTGCAGCGAGGCCAAATAGGTAGGAGGATCGAGAGACATGGCGGCGAGTCGAGGGAAGTAGCGACTCGGGCGGCTTTTTGGATTGGAGATGCACCTGTGTCGCCGAGGGGGGATTTGGAGATGGACGGCGTGGATGGGTTCGGCGGTGCTGAGGGTCGCAGGTCGTTGCGGCGGGAAGCTGTCTGACGAACGTAATGCTCTCAAGCCGCAGCCGCAGGCCCGCAGCCGCGCCCACCCAGTTTTTGGGTCACTTCCTTGCTCAAGTCACAGCGTCAGGCTGACGGCATCTGATTGGCTTGAGGTCCATTTCTACACCAGCCACAAGTGGCAGCTCTCACGGACCCACCAAAGCTCCGCTTAGCCAATGAAGACGGCCCACTCGATCGAGCGTTGTGGCGGTGCGATTTTCTCAATCACCTTCACTTCCATGAATCCATCCTAAAGCTTGGCTCACTGCCTCTAAGCCTTCTAGCCTCTCACACACTTTGTTGCTCCAAATAGCACTACGACCCAGTTGCCCCGGTTCCCAACCACCCGATTTCCTCAAGTGCAGCTATCGTTGATACTCGGCTTACCAGATGAAGCTGAACACTGCTCACCTTTTCTTTTTCCCTCTGCACGAATGACCCTTGTACGAAAGACTGGCCCACGCCAGTATGCAAGGCACATACGGAAAAGAAGTCCCTTGAATCTTAAAAAGGCGTCACTAGCCAGGACTTCATGGCCTACTTGGTGATGACCCCCTCATGGGTGCCGCGGAGTCCCATCCCGCCGGTCGGGCTCACTCGGACTTGATGCCGTCAAAGTTGCGGAACCCACGGACTGACACCTGCCGAGATCTCGTCGTGGTGCCAGAAGCCAGCGCAAGAGCTGTCATGGCGCTGCCAATCTGCCCTATACGAGTCAAAGACCGTTTCTTCTGCCCTAGAACCTCTGTCACGAGAGGTCATGACCACTTCACTAGACCCGAGGTACATGGAGACTAATGTGACAGCGCGGAAATGAGCATGATCTCATTGCAGCAGCTCACGATGGGCTTACGAGCGTCTCTGCCAATGGTTGCAAGGCACCAGATGGCGAGAGTAAGCCCAGATCGGCCTGCTTCTGGCAAACCAGCCAAGGAAGGAAGGAAGGAGCTCGCTAGCTGCGTTACTCGGTTGCGAGTGACAAGCCTGCGAAACGGTACCTGACGGAGCCTGCCCGGCGGGAGAGACGAACGGCAGGGCAAACAATCGCTGCTCCATTGTTGCTGCCATGGCCCATAAGTATTCGTACAGTTGGGTTAGAACAGGCTTCTCTGCCTATCGATTGTCGTCCAGTGGACGGACCGACCCCTGCAGGTAAACAAGTGGGAACCAAGGCGCTCTGGGCCGGGCCAGTCACAAACGTGTTACCAGCGAGTAGCGACCCGTTTCTGCCAACTCATACAGGCATCTCCCCGCACTAGGCCACTTATAACCCTCGTCTGCTCCGGGTGTCTTGGTCTAAGACTCTAAGTGAAGGGGGAACCACAACTCGGCGCCCGATCTTCAGGAACGGAACAAGAACAGAAAAAGAAGCAGCAAGTGTGACGGAATCACGCACTCAAGAGGAATCTTCAGAATCACCCTCGTCAGAGATTGGCCAAAAACTAATCGGTGAAGCTAGATCCCTGCGGAACTTTGCATTATTTGAGGGTAGTATTGTGAGTGTCAGAAGTGTGGGTGCGCCTGGTGACAGCGGCAGCAAAATCAAGAGGTTGGACTTGAAGGAGGCTGGGAATCGACCCGCGCGACGGCCAAGGAAAAAAAAAAAAGACAATCCCACTGCCCAAACCAAGTAATACGACACTCCCGTCAGTCAGCGCCTTCTCAATCTCTCCCTCTCTCTTAAATCAAACTTACCTGCAGGTTTCATTCTTCCCGACTTCTTGGTTCATTCTTCCCATCTAATCCAGAAAACACCACATTCCAAGCTCTCAGTCCCTGCCGATACCTCTGCACACTAACAGGTTAGGTTGGCCAGCTCACACCGCGGCTACTCAATCACACCTTGACCATACTACCAGCTTACCCTCCCTCTTCTTCTCATTCCCCGCCAACCATTAATACCTCATCCTACCGCTACAACATTCCTCATTCTCGCAATCTTTGGGGCGCCCACGAGGCTACGAAACAAGACAGGACCTCTCGACATCCCCATTGACCGAACAAGATTGGCAATCGTGGGGAGAGCCGACTTACATTCTCGCTTCGCCGTCTTTCCGGCCTCGCGCATTCCTGGCAGTTGACGACGCCGAGCAGCGGTTTCCGCCAGAACATAAAAAAAATAAAAAAAATGGCACGGCGCAAACAGTCGGCAGCGGCCCCTCTGGTCGCCGGCCTTCTTCTCTTGGTGTCCGCCCCCACTCCGGTGTTCGCCCACCCTTATCCTCTCCAAAATGTCGCAAACAACCTCTTTTACCACCTTGGCGATCAGTTTATGAAGCGCGATTGCGTTCAACGTTGTGGAGCCGACTCCCAGTACTGCTGTGGATCTGGAGAGCAGTGTTATACCGTTAACAACATCGCTGGCTGCAGCACCGTCAGCGGAGGTGGAGGCTACGGTATTTACACCACGACATGGACTGAGACGAACACCTTCACCAGCACAATATCGACAAATTGGCCTGCAGTGACAACAGGGGCAGCTGGGGGAGGCACCGGAGCCACCTGTGTCCCTCAGAGTGATGGAGAGACGGCCTGTGGCAGCATTTGCTGCGCCGCCAACCAGTACTGTGCCTACTCAGGGCAATGCGCTCAGCGCGATGGCTGGGGTGGAGGTGTCACCACAATTACATCGGGAGGCCATACAATCACCACCCAGTACTCTGCTCCTTACCGCATCACAAGCACCGGGGCCACCGGCACCGCCGCCTCAGCAACTAGCACCGGCACAGTCGTACCCATCACCGACGAGGGTACTGGTGGAGGATTGAGCGGCGGCGCCATCGCCGGTATTGTTATCGGCACGCTTGCAGGTCTCGGTCTTCTCATGCTTCTCTGCTTCTGCTGCATCGCCCGCGGCTTGTGGGGTCTCATCTTTGGCAAGAAGAAGAAGGAGCACAGCCACAGCCGCGAACGAGTTGAGGTGGTTGAGGAGAGATACTCTCGTCACGGCAGCCGCATGCCCTCTGCCCACTCTGGTCGCCCCTCGCACGGCGGATGGTTCGCAGGTGGCGGCCGTCCCGCTCCGGCTGCTCGTCGCAAGGAAGAGAAGAAGGAAGGCGCCAAGTGGTTGGGTCTGGGAGCCGCCGCAGCGACAATGTTGGCGCTCTTGAACCTTAAGAAGGACAAGCCCAAGGCCAAGCCTCGGTCAAGCTACACCGACTCGTACTACTCGTACACGGGGACAAGTCCCAGTGAGTCTTCATGGGATTCTCGGGATCGATCGGATCTGACGTCCTACCTAGGCAGCTCTAGCTCGGGTGGAAGAACTCACCGCACCGGCCACACACGTGGCACACACACGACGCGCCACTCACGGAGGTAGCCCCCCAAGTTCTTTCGCGACCGCGGTCGAATTGCATATGCTGTCGGCTGCCTTTTTTACAAGGCGGTGGAAGCCCCGAACATGCTTTGAACGTACATAAATTGGTATTATTGCTTTCTATTTTCATTTTGGCGTTACAGGGGAAATCATGATCCCATCGGGCTTCCGACAGCCCGATCATGGATACTACAAGGCACGAGAGACGAGACATTCGGCGACGAAGAGGGGAATGAAAGATTGACGAGAGATATGAAAATTGGGTGGAGAGAGGAAGAGGCTTGGAAATGGCCACGAAGACTGTGAATGTGAGGAGGATCATCTCTTTGGACATTGAGCGTTTCCAACTTCATTTCCTTGGTGTGGCTTACTTTGTCTACCCATCCTCCAAAACCCGCATAGCATGTACGATGTTCAGAACGATTTGATGGCATAGACGAAACTCTTCGACGCCCTTAATGCATGGAATGGAAATCGAAATTTTTGATTGGGCCTTCTTGATACACACTTGTTCGTTGCCGTGTTGCCGTACTGTCGTGTTGTTGGTTCAAGCTCAATTGTGTATGCAGCTACACGGATGAAGCTTTCTCGGGAGAGTAAGAGTTGACAAAGTTGAGATGAACATGCGGCGCTTGCGCACAGCGAGAGCGTTTGAACATGCATGGAACAAGACTGTGATTTCCATGTGCGGTCTGTGTTCTCGCGTTCGGGCCGTCTGATGCGTAGGTCTTTGTGTGTGTGTGTATGTGTGTGTCAGGACTATGAGACTGAGTCTGAATCTGAGTCTGAAGTGTAAGTGTAAGTCTGCGTTGCGAGATCTCCACCTGGAGATGGCCCAAGTGAAAGAGATTTTTTCCCGCCCTCATGGAGCTTGCCAACACAAAGCAAGTTCCGCTCTCTTTTTCTTCATTCCACTATTCGCTAGTGGCCGGTTGGCCCAATGGCAAGGCGTCTGACTACGATTGCGTTTACCCTCGTTCGTCTAGGGCGAGGAAAACGTTGACAAAGTATCAGGAGATTCTGGGTTCGACCCCCAGGCTGGTCATTCTCTTTTGGTTGCGAGATATACGGTACTTCTTTTTTTTTTTCATTCTTTCTTGTGTGTCGTGAACATTGAGGCTTTTGGGATTGATGTATGGACTAGAGACGTTGACATTGTATCTGAAGAGGAAAGGTAATATTGTATGTGGTATGTGTATTCTGTCACGGAATGCTAGCAAGAGTCCAGTGGGAGGATGACAACTCTGTTTCACGAATGACCTGGTCAAGCCTGGCTAGACTATAATTCCATCAGGGTGACAAGATGAGTCAAGAATCAGACCATCACGAAATTCTCATTTTACTGTGAAAATAGCTGCGTTCATGTCGTTCGGTCACAGGGAAGAAAATGTAGATAGATCGTCAACATTGTAAAGAATCCTATATTCCCTAGTACATTTGTTCACAAAATGGTATGAGAGAAGTCTTCTTTAAGTTTGAGTGGGTATCATTTCACCATGAAGAATGTCTCATGCGAGTAAGGTATATAATGAAGTGTTGTGGGATATACTGCTCAGAGAGGGGAGCAGGCAACGTCTTCTTGACTTTTGATGTGATTCATGGTAGCCCTGCGCTACACGATGCAAAGTGAAAGATGGAACCCCGGCCACGCCAATTGTGTGTGTAAGACCCAGAAACCCCAGTTTGATTTTTGCATATGCCTCGAAAAACATGACCTGTTTTGACCCTTTTTGGTTTGGTTTTGCTCCCCTCCTCCGGCTCATACATCAATCAATACCTTCGTTTTTTATTGATTCATCGAGAGGGATTAAACATTTGATAGTGGATGAGCATTTAAGCCTCCTCCTCAATGTTGCCCTTCTCGGAGACGTACATGCCGTCCAAGAACTTACGGATATCCTTGTTGCGGACCTTGCAGATCTGCTGGATATCGGCAGCGGACTGGGAGACAGCCTCGAGGGAGTTGCCGAAGAGGACGAGCTCGTCCTTCTGGGCCTTGGAGACCTCGACGTCGACGCCCTCGCGCATGATGACCTTGCGGACGAGCTTCTCGCCAATGAAGTTGCTAAGACGAATACGTTAATCTCTTGTAGTCGTCAAGCGTGAAAGCATGGTTGCAAACATACCGGATCTCGACCTCCCACAGACCAGTCTCGGAGTCCTTCTCCAGGTTGACGTTGATGGGGAAATGGGCGTAGACGTAGCGCATCTTGTACTTGAAGCCCTTGGTGACACCGACGATCAGGTTGTTGATGAGGGTGCGGACGGTGCGGAGGGTGGCAACGTTCTTTCTTGAGCCGTGGTGGATCTCAATGTTGATGGTGCCCTTGACCGGCTGGGAGAAGTTGACAGCCAAGTGGGACAGGTCCTTCACGAGCTTGCCTGGTGGCGGGTGTTAGCCATATTGACTTGATGAGGGGTCCTGCATCCCCGCAGCCGTTGCGATCTGCTTGCGCAAAACCCGGACTGCGGGAGGAGGTTGTTCGCGATATATCTTGAGACGCATCGTGTTCGGAGGGGAGTCTTGTACTTACCACGGGGGCCCTCAACGGTGACGATGCGGGACTTGATGTGAACCTTGACTGTTTGGAGAATCCAAGTCAGCATGCATTCGATTGCCTGCCACTACTGCTCCTTTCGAGCTCATCCACAGTCTAAAACTCTTCAACCCAAAAACCCAAATGTTGCTTTGTCCGCCTCAAGCCTCCCCAATCCCTCTGCCATTGTACTGCGGTTGTTGTAACTTTTTGCGCCAGCGACCATGTTGCCATAGGCATCGAGGTTGCGACCATGACAGAGGAAGGCGAGAGACTCGAAGTGCGAATGGCGACAAATAGGTGATATAGTATCGTGAAGTTCAAAACCCGGCGGAGCTCGCAGGGGGCCGCATCGTGGGGGAGGAGGTTTTTCGTTGTTTTGTGTGCTCAATCAATCGTCAAGGAGACGACGACGACGGCATTGCTTCACATACCATTCTCGGGAACCGTCAGGCTCTCTTGGGAGTGGATGTATCTCATCTTGACGTCGGGGGGGGAGGAGGGCTGTCGGCTGGGCGATCTACTGGGCGACTGGTCGTTCGTTGGGCGATGAGGGACAATTCTTCACTTTCAAAAAAGTTCCAAGTCGGGGAGTCTGGCAGTCGCGATTCAATTTTCGGGTGTGGGGTGCAAAAGTTCTAGCGAGGGCTTGTGTGCACGTGAGGGCAGAACTATGGTCTGTGCGTAATCGAATTTCTGGCCGACCGCCCGGCTGCCCGGGACCAGTGGAGTAAGACGGACCTAGACCGCCCGGGACATGGCCGGGAAGCTCCAGCCACAGCTCCGGGTCACCAGCCGCAATTACTGAAGACGACTGCCTGGCGCAGTCACGTGTCAAGGCTAGCCAATAGGAGGTTCCATTCCCTACAGCTCCAGTTGCTGCCCACTCTCGATAGCTGCCCGGGCTGGCGCAACTGGAGCAGCGCAAGCCGAGTGAGTGCACGTACAGATACAGATACGTCAGCCTTGAAGCTCCGCGACACCCCCTTCTCCGACGTCCCAATATCAATTCAACTTAATTCTTAAACTCCAAACTCGACGGGCCGACCGATAATAAGCCATTGGGACCTTGAATCCGTCGCCCCCTTTATATCCGAGCATCGAAACGACACAGTCGCGCGAGATCCGGGCATTCCCCCGCATAAGCCAAGATGTCGTACTTCTTCTCAACCCCCGTCGACATCGACATTGTGCTAGAGGACGCCGACGAGCGGTCCATGGTCGATGTCAAGCTCGACAAGAACCGGCGCGAGAAGGCGCCGCTGTACATGGACGGCGAGTCCGTCAAGGGCGCCGTCACCATCAGACCCAAGGATGGCAAGCGGCTAGAACACACCGGCATTAAGGTCCAATTCATCGGCACGATAGGTGTGTTTTCTGAGCGAGCGACCCCAACAACCTCTCCCTCCTTTCGCCCAATACTAATACTTCCATCTTTCTCTCCGCAGAAATGTTCTTTGACCGCGGAAACCACTACGAATTCCTCTCCCTCGTCCAGGAGCTTGCGGCCCCGGGCGAGCTGCAGCACCCGCAGACATTCGACTTCAACTTCAAAAACGTCGAGAAGCAGTACGAATCGTACAACGGCATCAACGTCAAGCTGCGCTACTTTGTCCGCGTCACCGTCTCCCGCCGCATGGCCGACGTCATCCGCGAAAAGGACATTTGGGTCTACTCGTACCGCATACCCCCCGAGATGAACTCATCCATCAAGATGGACGTCGGCATCGAGGACTGCCTCCACATTGAGTTTGAGTACTCCAAATCCAAATACCACCTAAAGGACGTCATTGTCGGTCGTATATACTTCTTGCTCGTCCGCCTCAAGATAAAACACATGGAGCTGTCCATCATCCGGAGGGAGACGACGGGCGCCGCGCCGAATCAATATAATGAGAGCGAGACCCTAGTGCGTTTCGAGGTTAGTTTGCGGCTCTAGATAATGCTCTGCTCCATTTTCCCAATGTTTCCTGCGTACTGACTCTCTCGGGACCGAAGATTATGGATGGCTCGCCTTCGAGAGGAGAGACGATCCCCATCCGCCTCTTCCTCGGCGGCTTCGACCTGACACCCACGTTCCGGGACGTGAACAAGAAGTTCTCCACCCGGTACTACCTCAGTCTCGTGCTCATCGACGAAGGCATGTCACAAATCCCCTTCCCCAATTCATAATTATTGTTATGGACAAATCAAGAAGCAAGCTAACAATCAAAACCCAGATGCGCGGCGGTATTTCAAGCAGTCTGAAATCATCCTCTACCGCCAAGCCCCTGACGCCGCCGCCGGTCCTAACATGATCATGGCTGCCGCCCCCGAGAACCCAAAGTTGATGGGCCAGTCTGTTCAGGCATAGAAGTATCTGAAAAATGACGCCATGGTTTACAAGTAATGAGTTGTTTGATGAAATAGGGGGAGACAGGGAGGTTATTCTGTATGATGTGGCTGCTGCCGCCAATGAGAGGATAAAGTCCTCGTCAAGAACCGTCCGTCCCACGTAGTTTTAAGCATAGGTCACGGCGTTTGGGGTAAACAAAGCTGGGGTCTGCTGCACTGATACAACAAACAATGAAATTCTTCTTCTTCGTCTCTACCTTGACCGGTTACCGAAAAAACAAAACCCAATGCATGCAATTCGTGAGGTATCTGGTTGTCCTGGAGCATTCTTGTATGGTCCAGGATCGCGCGTTCTTGATTACTTGTACACATGCTCTCTCCACCCCTTACGAAAGAACCTCCCCCCACCCCCCCCCCCCGCCTCTCGGCCCGCATTGCCCTTCTTAACTTTTTGATCTTGTTTCTTTGCTCATTTCATCCATTTACAAAATGTCCATTGCATCGTCAGCCTCGAATCCAAACTGGTTGTTCTGGATGGCCGCGATACGGTCGAGTTCGTCCTGATATTGCTTGCGTAGGTCCGGCAACGTAACGACCTTGCGCTTGCCCTGGAAGGTCGTCGACTCCCTCGAGCTGGGAGGAGGCAGCTCCTCGGAAAAGATCCACGCTTGCTTCGGATCGACGCAGCTGAGGGCGTTGATGAGCAGCAGGTATTGCTTCGTGACCGCTGTATCGAGAATGTCCTCGCCAATGAGCTTGTCGCCCTCGCCAGCGTGCCGCAGCTTCTGGATGCGGTCGAGCAGCACCGTAGCGGCGCCGCGGTAGTCGTTGTGTTTGATCCTCCACGAGTAGAGGATCTGGTGGTATGGGATGCCGCTCAGGACATCCATAGTCGCCTTACACCTTTGTGCCAGGATGTCGTCGATCGAGTCTTGCAGACCCGGGAATGGCAGCGACATGAGTTCGCCATTGTGGTAAGATTCGCACATCTTGTCGACGAGCTTGCGAAGTGATGAGAGCTGCATCGCCTTATCCTTCATGGCCAGTAGACTAGCATGGGCCACGTCGAAACGAGAGAGTACTGTCGCCGCGTTGAACTGTCGGCTAAGCATCTCGCTTCTGACCAGGGCAGCTTCGGGACTGGCGTGTGAGTATTGAATTGCGAGTCCGGCGAACTCGATCACATAGGAGTATGCCTTGGCCTTCTCGAACAGAGCGACTGCGTGGCAGTGATACCTGGCCGGCCCCTTGTTGAGCAGGTTCCACTCGGTATCGTCAAGCAGCCCGCTGCTGTGCCGGTCGACATCTACATCTTTGACGCCTGTCACGAACATTAGTTTCATTCTCTACACAGCAAAGCCGAAGTCAACTTACTCATGCCTATCGCCGCTTTACGGAAGTGGAAGGCGGCCGAAGCAAAGTCTTTCAGGGCAAGGAAAACACGACCCTGAATGTAGATGGCGAAAGGCGTCTGGGCGCAGTAGGGGGTAAGTTCGAGAGCAAGATCGGCCCGCTCCCTTCTGATGAGGGAACACTGAATCAGAGTAGGCGACACCTCAATATCGCTATTAGAAGCACAGAGATCCGTGACGATGTCTGTGATGCTCGTAGCCAGAGGCTCGTTCCGGCCGTCGACGAAGCCAAGAAGATGACCGACATTACCCTCCAACGCAGTGACCGTCTGGGTCTCCTCTGCGGTCCTCTTTGTGGTGCTGGGCGAGCCGGAGAAGGAGTCGTTGCGCTCGTTCTTGTTACCAATAGGAACGGTGATTTCAGTCTTGGAGAGCCATCGAAGCAGTTCTAACCGACGAAGTGACTCGAGGAACTGCCTGAACACAGCGCCAACGTCAATTCGTTTGGAGAGCATGTCTTCCTCTTGATCCCAGTCGAACTCCATGTGTACCAGAAGCAGGACCTGGCTGAAGATGATGTTCCACTGCAGATCAATCGTCTCCTGAACAGCCTTGACGATGAGCTTCCGTCCAAAGTCGGTCAGCGGTTGACGGGTCTTGCGGCTTCCAGACTCCTCTGTAGCCGCAATCAAGCCCGAGAGGCTTTCGTACAGATCCATCGTCACACCGGTATAAGACTGTCCTAGACTCTCAATGACCTGTGCGCAGTCTTCGTCACTGACGGTGCGCCACAGCGCAGTGGTGTCAAAGAGGTATTGGAGTCGTTCATAGTCCGTTCGAGGGGTCTCCTCGTAAATCTCAGGTCGCAGGGCGGCAGTGCAGACCTGTTGAATACTGTCTGAAATAGCATCGAGGAAGCCAACTCCTGTCGACACAAGGTTTGCTATTCTCTCCGATGCCTCATCTGGTCGCGAGAGGTTATAGTACAGCCGCTCCAGTGAGCTGCATTCTCTAATGGCAGAGATTGCATCAGCACACACAACCCACGTCATGTCGGATTCTGCGTCGAGGACCAATGCAACTGCCTCGCCACGTTGCTTGTCCAACTCGATCAGAAGACGGTAAAATCTCCTCCACTGGGTCTCGCTGCTCGCACGGAATTGCTCGTAATCCATACCACCAGCCGAGTTCCGGTCCAAGGATGCTGTTGAGGCAAGAACAGAACAGATTGACTCTGCCAGGCCCTTTTGTTGGCTCTTCGAGCTGCCCTCTTTTTGAGAGTAAAGTCCTTTCTCGTATATAGACAGAGCTGTTTCGAGGGTTGCCTTGGTGAAGCGGCCGGGGGCGAGGATAAGATCTAACCACTTTTCCGTCGGGTCTGTAGGATCAGACGATCCGGACGTCGGCGCGGTAGGATAATTTGTGTCAATGTGGACTGAGGCCCATTCGCTTTCCCATGACTCGGCGATGTTGTCTCTGTTGAGATCCAGCTCCTGGACTCTGTAGGTCATATTGTTCTTCCACAATGTCCACAACTGAATACCGCCATCCGCCAGGGTCGAAAGAACAAAGTCCGCCAGAGTCCAGACATCTGAAAGTGACGGTGAGGATGGGGTAAGGTGGGTATCAGGGAACGCATCTTCCACGTAGACGGTGTCGCTGTCGCGGGCTTTGATGTTCCAGAACTTAAACTCGCCAGCCCCAATGGGCGAGTACGTGGCGCACATCCTGTTGCCTGTTCCATCGCCGACCAGCTGCAATAAGTTTGTCTGTGTAGGCTCAATCTGCCACTTGCCGACTTCTTGCGGGTTGCGGTCAGAGTTCAGTATGTCGCCGGTAAACAAGATTTGACCTGTCCGCAGGTTCCAGATGCGCATTCGGTGGTCCAGACAGACTGTGAAGAGAAACGCCGCATCATCAAGGCCCAGGTTCGTGACTTGTATCGATGTCGCTGCACTCGCGTCCATGTGGATGTTGCGGTATCGGATAGACTGGTTCTGTTGGAACGGGAGGTAGCTCCGAATGCCCTGCGCCCATCCTTGTGAATTGTAGATCGTCTCCTTCCATGGGTTGCTCGTTGCTATGCACAAGTTAGTGTGGAGCCTTTGGTATGGTAGCAGCAGTCGAGGGTGAGTAACATACAATCCTGTGTCTTATTCCGGTCCAACCTCACCAGCCCACCGTCGTGAAGAGAAATAACAATTTGATCGGTGCTCGCGGCAACCATGCGATGCGGGTGCTTGAACCCAAAGACTTTTGGCTGGTACACCTTGCAAGCATCTCCCGGGCCGGCCTCAATGGCGGAGCGCTTCCTGAAGAAGTCGGGGCGGAGAGTGAAGGAGTACAGGCAGTTAGCCTCGTCGAGCACGAACATGGAGAGCGCATCATGTTCCCGGGGATCGGCGAACGCAACACAGGACGACTGAATCGGCACCGTGAATCGGAAGTTGAGAATCAGCGGCGCATCGACCGTCTTTTCCTGTCGGCAGGTGTCGACTACCCGCAGGCTGAGGACGAGGCCGTCATCCAGCAGCCTCCAGAGGAAGCTGCGCGGTGCATCGTGCCATTTGCGGTGGTAGACGGACGAAGCGGGAGCGAGGTTCTTGAGCCGGAAGTTGACTTCGTCTTCGCTGATGTTCTTATCGCCGAATGTGAGCTTGCGGGCCGCGCCCCTCCCGTTCGACGTCAGCGAGGGGACGCGGATATTGATGATTGACGAGGCGGAGGCCGGTTCGAGGTTGAGACGAGTCTCTCGGTATAAGTATTGAGTATCGGCGGAATCCATTTTCGATTGCCCCTAACCTGTGAAAACCTCAAACGCCGTAGATGAGAAAGAGAAAGAGGCCGCGAAAGTCGCGGGTCGGGCTCGGCGCATTAAGCAATCTGTGGCAGCAAAAAGTTCGTCGCGATTGAGCTGATGGAATTTCCAGTTTGAAGGCTCCTACGCGCCCGGTGGGGCTACTCCCAAAACAGCAACCAGCTTGATACAGTGTTGCAGTACGCGCAAACGGCACTCACACTGTACACACTCGAGGTGAATACTCAAAAAGTAGATGATAATTATAGGCAAGGGCGGTGGTCACAAGGGAGCACAACGATGCATCTGTTAAAATTCATACAAGACTTGAAATTTTCCGAAGACGTTTTGATTCATTACGGTTCTAGCAAATGCTCTGCACCTAGTCTGCACAATTGGCAGCAGAAATACCACAACTCCAGTGTAACAATTGCCGCCCAACGCCAGCACCAATGCATGCCATCTTTCCCAACCGGGGTGTATCGAAGCTCACTCATATGCGCATAACACCATCACAAGCTACTTTCGTCTAGTCGTCCTGTACCCATGTGTCCCTAGGCTATTCCTTCTCCAGGTCCTTGGGGCTCGGGTCACCGATGCCATCCTCGTTGATCGCAAAGAGACAGTCACTCTCCGGCAGACAGGGGCTGTCGTAGATCTTGGCGACACGAGTCTCGCCTCGACCCTTCCTCAAGCTGATTCTCGTCGTACTTGCGTGGGCGATAATGTTACCGCCGATTGGCTTCTTCGGGTCAGGGTTGAACATGGCACTCGGACCGCCATCAACCTGTGCGACGACTTGGTTGGTGATGACCACCGCAATGCCAAACTCGTCAGCGAGACGCTGAAGCGTGCGCATAAACTTGGCCAGGTGAGTCTGTCTCGACGAGAGTTCACCTCGGCCCAAGAAGTCGGTTCTGTAGAGCGCCGTCGCACTGTCCACAATGAGGAGCGAGAATCGGGTCTCGCACATCATGGCACCAGCCTGCTGGAGAAGCTGAAGCTGGTGGTCTGAATTGTACGCACGAGCATAGGCCACGTTGTCGAGGACCTCTTCTCCGGAGAGTCCGAATCTGTTGGCGACGGCCAGCAGTCGAACGGGTCGGAATGTACCCTCAGTGTCAATGTACAAACACTTGCCCTCTCCGCCACCCATGTCAAAGGGTAATTGACATGTCACGGCAAGAGTGTGGCAAATCTGACTCTTTCCCGTACGGAACTCTCCAAATAGCTCAGTCACCGATCCGGTCTCGATACCACCGGCGAGAAGTGTATCCAGCTGCTTGGAGCCAGTCGTGATAGAGATGAGCTCGCTTCGGCGTTGGTGCATCTCTGTGGCGGTCGTGAAGCCCATGGGCACGAGTTTCGAGGCTAATTCCCTTCAGTCAGATTGATTCGCACGAATGTGTGAGGTGGAGTTTCATACCTTCGGCCAGAATCTTGGTTGCCTTTTGTTCCGAGATGCCTTTGATCTGCTCCAGCATGCGGCGCGGGGTATACGCTACTGATTCTACGGTGTTGAAGCCGCCGTCGACGACCATTTGGATATCGCGCTTCGTCAAGCCGGCAACTCCCTTTTTTTCGGATGGATTCATCAGCACGCCGTATACAACGCGAAGAGAGTCTAATTAGAAATTACCTCGAGTGCAGTGAGTGGCGTAGGCGCGCCGGGCCCGGTCATGCCGCTCTCATCGCCATGTTGGCTCTCGTCATAGCCGTCAGCGTCGGCCATTGTGCTCGTAGATGTGAGATTGAAATGTCGAGCTGGTTATACACGAGGGAAGTGGCAGCAGTACACGCGCGAGGTCGGACGTCAGGAAACGAGTTAGGTGTTTACTCCGTATACAATTGCCAAATTGTTGATGGTGGGCGAACGCGGGCTCTTAAGACGCGTCGAGGATGACTGGTGGTGGCGATCGACTAAAAGGAAAGTACGCCAAATCACGTGCGGCAATTAAGAAGCCGGTCGGCCCCACCGTGTGCCTGGAGTTAGCGTCATACTAAGACGCTCCGTGCTTCCCTCATCAAACTTACCAAAGACATCCCAAGATAACAGCGCGGGCGATTGTCTCTTCATGACATCTTTAAGATAAAGCATTCGCAATTGTGTTGCTTTCAAATGTCGGAATTTCATCAATTTGATCTGCTGTATGCATCAGTGGCACTTGTATCCAAGAGTTTGCAACAGCTCTTCTGGGCTAAATATCATCCTTTTACCATCTGGAGTGAAGTGAAGCTCACAATTCGACATTTTCACAAATTTTTGATGGAATCAATCATTTTGTTTTTGAACTTGTTTCATTATCATTGCTAGTATATAGCGAAGAAAGAAGGAAACCCGAAACACCAATCCCAATGCAAAGACCCGTTAATGCTCATCCCTCCATCAAAGTCCCAATTTCCTATCCACTCAATTCTCATTATTGTTGTGTTGTACAATCGGAAAAGGTCATAGCCATCAATCACATCTTAGTTGATGAAGATGCGGCGAGTCTCGTGCTTGGGAGCCTTGGGCACCCGGATGGAAAGGATACCATCCTTGAAGCCAGCCGAGACGGCGTCCTGCTTAATCTGGCCGGGGAAGTTGAAGACTCGGCTGAACTCGCCGATGCTGCGCTCCGAGACCCAGTACTTTGCGTTGTCGACGGGCTCCTTCTTGGCAGCGGCGGCGGCGTGGTGGTGTGCGACAGCAGAGGCAGACTTGTCGATCTCGGCGACGGTGGTGGCCGGGGTAGGCTGCGCGGTGGAGTTTGTCTCGGCGTCCTCTTCATCCTCGACGGTAGCCTGGTGAGGCGAGCGAGGGCGCTCAGTGCCGGTGGTGCTGGAAGCGTCGTTGCTATTGTTGCTGCCGTCGGTGATGGCGCCGCTCATCTCAGTTCCGGAGGACTGCTGAAGGAGGCCCGCAGGTGGGGTGCCGGCGGTGTACGACCTCTCGACGCGGCCGCGGATGTGGAGGGTGTGCGGGTCTGTGAACTCGATGGAGACGTCGTCCTTGCTCATGCCGGGGAGCTCGCCGTGGAGCTCGTAGGCGTCCTCGACCTCGCGGACATCGAACTTGGGTTGGAAGGTCGGGACGTGGTTGCGGTGAGTGCCGCGGGCGCCGCTGGAGGGAGTGCCATTGCCCTGACGGGAGTAGTTGTCGAAGTCCTCCAGGAGGCGGAAGAGAGGGGTGAATGAGGCGTCGGAGTTGTAGAAGTTGCGGGGGAAGAATGCCATTTTGATGGTGGTGTTGTTGGTTGTTGTGAGGGTGTGAAGTGGTTGTATGGTGGATTGATTTATGAGGAGAAAAGTTGTAGTGGTTGCGAGAGCGGGCTGCTTTGTTGTGTGTATGAGAGAGTTGTAACTGTGTTTGCTTGTTGTTGTTCTTGATGTTCTGATCTGATGAGAAAAAACTGGTGATAGAGGTGATCAAGACGATGGATTTATACAATGGAAGCAGGCACCATCGTGCGTTCCCCAGCGTTCCGGAAACATCGCTGAAAAATCAAAGAATCCGCCGCAAGTCCCTTCGAGAATGGACTCGCACATCGAGGAAGGGACGCGCACGCTGTGAAAGCCTATTCTGGAGGGATCTGTAAGCTTCTCTTTGGCGATGGCCTCACGATGGGAGACGGTTCTGGTAGCTTCGGAGGCGTGGAAGCTGTTGGAACCTTCCAGCGGTTTCCATTGGCTTCGCCACCCGCGCAGCGATACATTACTCAACTCAACCCCATTGACTTAGGCCAAAAAATCAAGATATCATTCAAGTCAATTGAATTGTTTCTGTAATATCTCATTCAGTTGATATTTACTCATTAACCAATACGATAAATATGTCAACATTCCCAAGGTAAAAACCCCATCTTCTGGCCTTTGACGAGCAGCTTGAAACCGCTGTAAGTCGCTTAGGTACGTCCACCTCGCCTACTTTTTAGAGTTTCGACCTCCGACAAGGGTCCAGCAAGACGCAATCGGTCACTCAGCCAATCAAATTTCTTCTCTTGACGTCAAACGGATGGTCCGTGCCGGGGCACCTCTTCCCTCTCCCCCCCCCCTTCCCCCCGGCTCCCCAGCTCGCCCAGTCACACAGACCTAGCCATGACAGAGCCGACAAAAAGAAGAGTCCAGACTCTCAATCGCCCATGGCCCGGTCCAGACTCTGTTCCAAACCAGCCCGCGGGATCCCCATCATCGTGTCGGATCGTACAAATCGGGGTTTGTAGTGGTACAGCCCACGGCGACTCCCGTTTTAGTCTGCATGTCCGGTCTGGTTCCCGCGAAACCTGTTGCACAATTATCTATGCCCACTTTCTATGGGAACATGGGTAGTGGTAGAGAGGGGGGGGAAGAGGAAAAGAAGAAGATTGCAATGCAGCAGGCCGGTTGACAAGGAGGAGCCGATGCCGATGGGAGCTTACGGCATTGCTGAGTCAAGCTCCTACTTACCTCAGGTAGTGAACCTGCGGATACGTCGAGCCCGCACGGCGTAGCATCTCCGGCCTCTGGGGTTTGGTCTTTCACAATACGGTGGTCCAAGTAGTGTGGTACTGGTAGTGTACCTCATAAAGTGGGGAAAACGTTCGCCTCACTCCAGAGACTGAGACCCTCAGCAATCGTCCCGTCGCAATTACAGCAACCCCGCCGCAGAGACTTGGATGAGATATCGATTTCGTACGGATACCGAGAAAAAAAGTGGCAGGAATTCAAAGTCTGTATTCCATACCATGGATTCAATTGGATTGTGGTGGTACTCCGTACCCTTGACCATAAAATCTGTCAGTTGCCCACTCAAATGCAACGGTACATCATTCACGCTAGCTTCACTTTCGACAAACCCCAACGTCGAATTGAGTCTGACGGAAAGTCACATGTTGCAGTCGATCCCACCGAGATTCCCTGATCAACTACAAGGGCAATTCGCGCATCTTGACATCAATTTCAAGTAACAAAAAACCGGCAATCGAATGATGCGCGCCTGGTGAGCCATGCGACATGGAAACCTTGCCAAT